AAATGACACATAGATGGGTTGAAACTGTGACAGTGACAGAGAAAAGCACAAATACAATGCTAAAGTACTGAGAGCGACATGGCCTCCTCCTCAATACTCGAATTGACTGGTTTTGAATTTCGGACGAGGGGCATATGTAGCCCCCAAGAGGGCGGAGCCTCTTTGCTGATGCATTTCTGCCACAACTCCCACTATGCTTACTATGGGAACTACCCCTAACATGAAATCTCTGACAATGCCATAAACCCGTGTGGTGGGGGGATACTTCCTTATAAGAGGCTAATTTGGATGTGCCGCTGGATGGGGTTGCATTTTCACGACTGGATTGACTATAATGCTATAATGGAGTCACATTTTCAATAGGGTTACTAGAATGGGTCGCACCTTTTCGGATTTTTGGGGGTAAGACAGTTCATATTTACGGTTAGAAAACGTACAAGTAAAGTGTTCTCCACTCAATTTAAAAAATGGGGCAATAGAAAGTGACTAAGTTGGGATCGCGAAAATTACATGTTTGCCCAAAAGTGACTAAGATGGGGTCAATAATAGTGCTGCGCGCAGTTACTATTTATAGACCCGAAACTCAGACAAATAAACTGAAATTAACATTAGCGAATTCCTTACTTTTTTCTGACTTTTGTCATGCAAATGTAATGTTTGTCTGTCTTTGGTTATCTAAATGAGAAAAATGACAAAACTCTGACAAAAATTGCAAATTAGTCACTTTGATGTCATTCACGCGCTACGCTATTGACCACTGAATAAACAATAATGGGGTAGGGGCACTGAGAGCCAGTGGCACATACCCAGCAAAAATTAACCCAAGTACCCTCCCTGGCGCGGGGGGGGGGGAACATAAAAGACACTCACATTTCTTTTATTACCCTCCCTTGAGATAAAGTAGTTCCTTCCGAAATATTTAGGATGAAATAAATTGTGTGAACAGGTTTGCTGGGTATTCTTCGTTTTCACTGTCACGCAATAAACACGGCACAAAAAAATACCGTTTGAAACCGTCCAGTGGAAGAAGCCAAGAAAATGAAATGTTATAAAAGACTAATATATAAACTACTTGTCCAACTCTCAGGTCTTTGTGGCCCACAGTTTCTGAGTTAGTTGCCGAAACATTTCACGCACCTTTGTAGAGCTTTGTATGGAGACGCCATGTTGGTGGACAGAAACTGTCCACCAATATGGCCGCCGGAAATCAACAAAAACATCTGGAGTTCACTTTTTCTATAAAAGCGCCTCCTTTTCACTCGAGAACTAGCATACTTGCGCATAAACATATCTTCTAATACTTGAAATGGTTAAACTGCTGAAAATCAAGCGGAGAGACTTTTTTCAAGGAGATAGCATTCCTATTTTGGTGTCACGCACTGTGAAAACTCGGAAGTTCAAACTGCTGTATTTTCGAAATGAAACATGCTTCGGGGCTGGAAACTTGTACAAAGATTTATTTCCTATTAATCTTCAACCTAGTGTAAATGAGAATTCGTAAAACCTGGCTTTTTTGACCTTGCAATCTGATGACGTCACCGTGAAAACCATCAATTTGCAACATGTGTCTACAAAATTAATAATGTCAACATCCGAAATTAAATTACTGATTTATTCTCTCTTGCTGAGGACAAATGAGCGACAGTACAGCCGATAAAGGTGCACTACTGTTCACCCCTCCCGCCCTTGCCCATGCTACCGCCCTTACCGCCCCAGCCCTCCCCAGCCCTTAAACGTCCAGCCCATTTCTCGTTCCCAATCTTTTCTCTTTATTCCAAATCGAGGCTAACTTGTTTTCAACATGGCCGACTTATCACAACCGATGGAAGATCCTGCAAAATACTATGAAAAACTTTTTGAGCGTCTCAGTGCTCTAAGAAAACAAGAAACCTTCTGCGATGTAACTGTCGCAGTGAAAGGCAAAGAGTTTAAAGCTCATAAAGTTGTGCTAGCTGCAGCAAGCCCATTTTTCCTTTCACTTTGGGAAAGCAACATGGTAGAAAGCAACGAACAACTGATCGAAATCAAGCTTGAAGAGGCGACTGCGTCTGTCATGGAAGAAGTGCTGCAGTATATCTACACTGGAAATGTTTCAGTCACCGAAGAAAGCTGCAATGAGTTGGTTGCAACGGCGGATTACCTTCTTCTACCAGGATTAAAATCATTAGCTTGCGATTTCTTGAAAAAGAAACTGGCCATTGATAACTGTGTCTCTACGTATTATTTTGCCGACAGGTATCACTGTGCAGAGCTAAAAGAAATGAGTTGTTGGGAAATTAATTTAAACTTTACTTCTGTGATGAAAACGGGAGATTTTCTGAACCTTGACTTGAATCAAGTCATGGAATGGGTCTCTAGTGATGACATAAAAATCAGTTATGAGGAAGAAGTTTTTGATGGAATTGTCAAGTGGGTGTCTTACAACAAGAGTGAAAGAGAGAGCTGTTTCTTTGACTTGTTGCACCAAGTCCGCCTGAATTGTGTATCCCAAGACTTTCTTCAGGGTAAATTGGTGAAGGAAGAACTTGTAACTACAAATAACGCCTGCTTAAACTTTGTTTTGAACTCCATCGTTGCCACACATGAAAGTCATTTCAAACCACCAAGGAAATGCCTTAAGCATTACGTCGAAGGGGTTTTTGTGTGTGGTGGTAAAATGGCTTTGTGTTACTGTCCTGATGACAATGAGTGGTATCAGATGAGCGGCATGGCATATGAACATCAAAACCAAGCCGTCATTCAGTACAAGGATAAAGTTTACATTTTTAGCAAACAAAATGTACATTCGATTGAGTCACATGTTGTAGAATATTATGTGCCTTTATCAAACTGCTGGGGTTCAATTCAAACAGACTTCGACTACGAAGAACAATTTTCAAGTGTATCATCACTGAGTGACTGTTCATCCTTGTTTGCTTTAACCAACAGTACTGAAATTCCTGAAAACACAATATTCACCTACAATCCTGCTGAGAATAGCTGGGAGATAAAAGGAAGTACATCTTCTAGAAATCGATGGGGAGCATGTGCTGTGGCAGTGGGAAATCACCTTTATATTATAGGTGGTAGCAATTGTAGCGATACTGTACCAAGTGGAATAACTAAAGTTGAACGATTTGATCCAAGAGAGGAGAAGCTGGAAGAGGTTGCGTCCTTGAATGAGGGAAGACATGATGTATTTGGAGCAGCCATGAATGACAAGATCTATGTGGCTGGTGGAATTCAAAAAAATGACCAGACTCTGACACTACTTAGCACATGTGAGGTATACAACCTATCAATAAATGAATGGCATCTGATGGCAGACCTCTGTGTACCTCGTCATTCTGCAAGTATGGTGTGCTTTAAAGGAGCTTTGTATGTCTTTGGTGGCTTGAAAAATACTCGCAGTTATCCCCAAACCCGAGAGTTGTCGGTTGAAGTATTTAATTCTGAAACGAATCAGTGGAATGAGAAGAGCACCATACCTGTTTGCCTTGAAAGTGATGAAGAGACAAATAAACAAATACATTACAAGGCTTGTTTTGCAACTTTTCACCATGATGTCTTGTTGGATCGCATTTACCTTTGACAGACAATTATTTATTCTCTTCCTGAGTTGATCTCTAGGCATGTTATTTTGCCAACTACATAAGACTCAAAAGTTAGAACCACCATGTACAACATGAAGTAAATTGTGATTTGTTTACCCACTGAGCACTTAGAAGTTCATATGAACTTGTTTAAACATGTCCGTGTTTTCCAGATCGAATTGGAATTTGGACGTGTTGGTTTTTGAGGAGAGGGGAAAACTGGAGCATGCACAGAGAAAAACCTCTTGGAGCAAACTCAACTCGCATGGTGTCGATGTCAGGATTCGAACCCTGGTCACATTGGTGGGAGGCAAGACAGTGTTCTCACCATGGCGCCACACTTGCTTTATGAGTAAAAAGCACCACCCAAGGGACTGCTTAGTAGCTTTCTCACTGGACTATACATGAGAACTACATTTTACTCAATTATCTATATTAAAACATATTGACTGTGGAGGGAAAGGTTTTGGTCAAGCAAGGTCAAGGACCCCCCAAGATTCCAGTAATGAATTTATTGTTCAAAAGTTGAATTCGGTAGTCGTTGCTGCAACCAGTATCAAACTCAAATCTGTATACCTGCATAATGAGCAGTGCATTTTTTTGATAACTCCTCTGTATTGGCCCTGATTGAAAAATCTTTGAATGCATAAAATTTCTTTGAAGACATTAACATTAAACTCAAGAAAACTGACCTGGTAAACATTTATAAATGAATCTGAAATCTACAACTACCAATGAATTCAACTTTCGTATAATAAATTCATTTATGGAATCATGAGGGTCACTTTAGCTGGCTTGACTGCAACAAGGAGCAGATGTAGTTCTGTTGTTATATCTCAGTTTGTAACTGGAATTTTACTGTGTGCTAGTGGCTACTGCATGAGGTAGCACAGAGGAGAGGTTTTTTTTAATTTGCTGACTTTTTCCTGAAAAATGTACATGTAAAATTTCCCTGACGAAGTGAATTACCAATATTCACAAATTAGTCCTGATAATGGACTCAACTCTCCCCTCACAGCCACTACTCGCCCCTTCGCTTGACAACCGCTACCCATCTATTTATACTGAGCTTTTAGCAAGTCACATGTAATGTAAATGAATTGATAGTTCCTTAACATAATGTGAAAAAAGGATTGATTTTTTAAAAACCCAACATCAGCTTGTTGTTAAAACCTCTTTCAAATTTTCCCTGACTCGAAGTGAAATTCCTTGACCCTGAAGAAATTTCATTTTCCCTGACCATTTTCTGGCCTTGTGGCAACCATGTAATCTGATAGATAGTGTCTTTTTTTTATCAATCAAAAGCACATAATTATTAAAAATAAGTAAATATACTTTATTGGCTGGCATAATTGCAGGTGGACCCAGAAGTTTACACTTTGGCCCAGAAAGAATCATGTAAAGGCTATTTGTAATACAATGCATGGTATATCATCACAAGAAGTTAAACGGGAAAAAGCTTAAAATGGATAAATATAGTCATCTGGTACAATACAGTCGATGAAAATTATGCTTAGAAAGGTACTTTAAAATTCCCTCATAATACTTAAATATTTGCTATTTTTCTTAAAGTTGCTTTCAATTGACATGTTGGTTAAGGTCGTACAGACAGTTCCACAGGCGAGTCGCACTCGCATGAAATGTTTGACCGGCATCTTAATACAGCCAAAGCATTATTGAAAGGAGATCGAGTGTTCTAGCTATGGGTATTTTGAAAATACGTTCTATGATTAGTGAAATAATCTGGACATATATTCCCCGTTTACAATTTTGAACATCAGGCAAAGTTTCTTTACTTATAGTTATTAAATAGTATCATTCAGTCAATCTGCAGCCTTTGTTGTTTCTACTGTTTCTACACATCCTACTGTCTGATGTGTTGCTTGTGTTTAAATGTTTTTGCCACTTATGTGTCAACTAGCCGCTTCAGCAATGTTGATCAGTTGTTGAGCACTTTGTAAGTGATCAAGTAACAGTTCCTAATGCTCTCATCATGGGGATGGGTGTATAGTTCTCGCTGCTCTCTGTTTACGAGACTCCATTTTCCTGCTTTCTCCATTTCCTCAAATTTGGTGCGGTAACCAAGTTCTACAGGATCAAATGAGTCTGCACGTATGGAAAAAATAAATAGACCACCTAGGAAAAGATCAGCAACAAAAGATTAAAAACCATGCTGGACAAAAAGTTGGGCAATATTTTCCACACTTTTTTTCTAAATAAAAAAATTCTTTTTCAGAGACAAGGTGATCAAACTAGTGATTAACAGAAATGATCAATCAACAGAACTTTTTCCATGATGCATTGCAAACATACTGTTTAAAAAAGGAACAGTGCTGACATACGCAGTGAGTTCTGAAACTTCTCATTCTTTGATTAATTGTTTTGGGTACAGATAAGATGACATGTAAATAAAATTGTACTACAAAAAAATCTTCATTTTCAAGACTGTTTCCAGGTTAGTTTGAAATGATATCAGCTTTCTCCACCCCCTTAAAGTGCCCATCACCTAAAATTTTATATTTTATCTGAAACTATACCTTCTTAAAATAACTTCTGCGAAAAAATTTTGCGGTTTGAACAAAATGCGATTTTTCTACCAATTTTTGAAGTCTACATTTTTGCGGTAAACCCGCGCCGCTGATCATGCAAACTAGCAGGCTCACATATGACGTCATGTGATGTAAATTAAGGAACTCGCATTACCTTGCCTTCACCAGCAGTACACAAAAAAGGTAAATTACAAGTAAGGATTTAATCACAATGTCTTCGCAAGAAGACAGTTTTTCTGAAAAAGAAAAACCTATCAGAACTCTTAATGTTTTCCTGTCGATAAGGTCACGTGTTCATTAAAGTACGTCATATGACGTCCTACTCTGAGAGAAGACTAAGACGAATGGTGTGCCAAAATGGTGCCAAATTTGAACGTTTTTGAAAAATTCTAAAAAAAATCGTCTTTGGTTCAAATCGCAAAATTTTTTCACAGAAGTAGTATTTTAATAAGGTGTAGTTTCAGATAAAACAATAAAAAATTTTAGGTGATGGGCACTTTAACTGGTAACCCGTGGGAAGCACGGGGCAGATCGTGATGAGTGGAGATGGCCGACTGCAAACTATTTCCAGGCCTGCAAAACTGCTTTGCAAATTTCAAGACTGGAGTAACCTTGGTCAATGTATTTAGCAGTTTTTAGGTTCCTTCTGGAGACAAAACCATTTCTATTTTCTTTCTAGTCATGATCTGAGCCAAGTGAAGGTCAACCCCCCTTCCTGCCCCCCCCCCCCCCCTCTTGTCCCCCCCCCCCCCATCTCCTCTCTACCTACAGTAGGTTTTCAATGGCCTGTTGAGAGCCTAATGTATTCTAACTTCTAACCAACAAAAACAGCAATCTCCCCCACTCCTTGCCACTAGGGATGTGACGTCCCTAGTGACAAGAAGCAAAGAGAGACATTCTTGTGTTACCTGGTCTTACATGACGGACACACTCATCCAGTGCTATCGGCTTTGCTTGTCCATAGACTATAGTACCTGCACACAGTGTTACATCATACTCGCCAGTCTGTATGTCATCAATGGGGACGTCACTCAATGCAGCACAGATATATCGCTTGTAAACATTCCTCTGTTTTGCTAAATTCAACATTTCTTCAGAAATGTCCAACGCGTCAATGTTCCTATACCCTTGCTGCACCAGCATTTCACCAATGATTCCTGTGCCGGCCCCAGCATCAAGGATTTTGATATCCTTGTTAGCTTCAGGGAAAATGTCTTGAGACCGCATGGCTTTATTGAAAGCCTCAACACACAGGACATGCCCTTTGTAACCAAGTTTGTTTGTATCCTAAAAGATAAAAAAAATAGTATAGACAGTATTATGGCAAAACTATTTCATCACTATTACAGTCAAACCCCATTAATACAGGGGCACCCAAAGACGGTTTCCTCCTAATTGCATTGAAAACACTTTTTAGGTTATCCAGAGTACTTTTAGATCAGTAAAAATGTATTCTAAGAGGCGCTAAAAAATTTTTATCTGTTCGGTCATCCTGGGGCAACTTGAGTCTTTTAGAAATTACAACGGCTTCAGTATTATTTTCCCAAAAACTTTAGCTGCAATATAAAGTTTTACGAAAGTGACAAGTTTTCTGATTCCTCTCTGCATCGTATTTTCGATTCCGAAAAAGTTAGGTTCCCTTTCTCTACGAAAAATAGCTTAACCTGGGAGTGACATGGGAAAAATTAAACTTCAGAAAACTGTAGGGAATTTATTAGATAAGCTTTGAAAATTGTACATGAATGGAACGGTCATCTAGAAGTTTGTAGCCTTCCCAAGCTTTAGAAAATTCTAGGCAATTTTTGCTTCTCCGAACAGATATTTCACAGAAAACAGCCATTGGGTGCCCCTGATTAATGGGGACACTGAGGAGGCCATAGAAAGTGTCTCTGTTGACTGGGTGTCCATATTATTAAAGAGGGTTGAATTTAGAGAAAATGTAAGGGCTTTCTTTCGCCTGGGACAAAACAAACTGTCTATAATAAAAAGGTGTCTGTCTTAAGCGGGTGTCCGTTAAGCAGGTATTGACTGTTTACTAAGTTTATTTTCCCTCATTACAGTCTTGGACACCACTTTTCATGGTCTCTTTACTTATGACGGGGACATGGCCACGGGGGGGGGTACTTTAGCAATTTCTGGGTGGAGATGTGCCACTGGGACCCTCAAACCCTTAACCTATACCAGAGCTAGTTCGGCTGAATTTTGCTACCCTATACTAGAGTAAACTCCCCAAATCCCCCCTATCCTAGAGTAGCTGTTTTCAAGAAACTACTGAGGTCACTAGCACTGTCTAGCCAAAACAAAACCCTATACCACAATCCCTAGTCTAGATAAAATCTTCAATCAACTCATCTGTTTCCTAGAAAATGATACCCTATTCTAGACCCAAATGCTCTGATTTATATACGCTATCCTAGAGTAAACTGTTTGAAAAACCATACCCTTCACAACAGCACATACCTATATAGCCCATATATGGCAGTACCCCTAGGGGCATGGCCTACGCCTCAAAATGCGAAATGACCATATTTAAAATTCAGACTAGGGACATACATACACCCCCTAAGAGAGCCTCTTTAATTTTTCTAAAAAGTACAACATACCTCTTCATAAGTTTTTGCCCAATCATCAAAAGTTTTTTTGGCATCCTTTAATGCTGAATTTGTGATCACTTCTAAAATTGCCTTGTTGTTAGGTGCAACAGCCATTATTAGTGAAAACCACCAACAAATTCTTGAAAAAAAGGAAAGGCAATATAATATTGGATTTACTCAACCATGTTGGATAAATACACAGGCGACACTTTGATGACCAGGCTAAAGGCTGAACGTTTTTTTGGCCTATGCATGCTGCTGCTGTGTTAAGCTGGAAATGGTCCTCTTTGATGAAATTCTCAAGAAGGGTTTAAGTGTTACTATCACTGACAAAGTCAAGGTCATACATCATCTCATCTTGGGTAATCTGTTATATTGCTTATGTGCTGTAAATAAAGCTATAAGATCCTTCAGATTACTTAAATGTAAAATCAGTTCCCCTGTAGGACAACATTGATGACCTCAAATTCTTTGAACACATTGCCATCGACATAAACTCCCTGGCCTCAAACTGTAGGGTTTTTGTGACTGCTGATGGTGATAATCTACTGTGGTGCCACTGTGTTTAGTCCAATCAAAGAGGGTGTAAACTATTGATCATCTGATTTCAAAGCGTCTCCTCCCAATTCTCAGCACATGCAGCTTTCCAGTTCCTCTGCCAAAACTTTGCTCGCTCTAAATAATAATCAATCCCACCAGCTACATTCAAAAGGACATATATTTATATTAAACTAGTATCCACTGGAAAGAGAGGAGAAGTCGTCACTTCACATTGCCATGGTAGCAAAGTTTTGGATGACAACAAATCAAAATGTCGCTTAAAAAGTGGATTCGACTCTTTGAACTTCATCGATCTTAGGTAAAAAATTTCATTTAATTTGTCAAATGTTGGCGAAATCTTCTGGGTTGAATGCGAAAGGACCATCTCTAAGTTTAGAACAAAAAAATTTTTGTGTTGTGCTTACCTACTCCATAAAGTGGGCAAGTGAAATTAGGAAGTTTCATCCAGTCGTGCAACAATGGCTAAGAAATGTACAAAAAGCGTAATACACATGCAAAGTTGTTCTTTTGCCAATCTAAACCTATTGCTGTTGTTGTGATCCAGAAATATTGCTCCCATGGTAACATGACGTCACACTTCTCCTCTCTCCATCAGTATTCCCAATGAAGATCCCAGGGGAATTTGACCCTTTGTCTTCTCATAGGCCGCATCTGGGGATTATGGCATGACCCGCTTTAGGAAAACAGGGATACCAGCTGGTTTACAGAATCTTGCGTTTTTCAGGCTAGCAAAGACGAAACCGAAGCGGGCGAAGGACGCGAGAGTCGAGACACACTCGAAGGAACACCCGCCTCGCGTTTTTCTTTGCTCGCCTTAAAAAAAGCGAAAAAATAATCTTGTTCTGCGGGCCAGCGTGGCAAGGCAAGTACTACCGAAACAGAGAAGAGAATTCGGGCGCGCGAGAACGTGAAAAAGGTCTCATATTCTTGCATTTTACATTACCTAGGCCGGTATATTAGAAGACGTCCATTCGTAGGTCATTCGTTCCATCCGACTGTTTCCGACCTTTATTCCCGACCAATTTTCCCCGTTCGGTCCAGTGCCCAACGTTCCCGTAATGCGGAAGATGAGGAATGTGTTCTAAACTTCCGGTGTCACAGTGATATGTGTATCCCCGTGATATGTGTATCCCCGTGATATGTGTATCCCCATACACATATCCCTAGTGATATGTGTATCCCGGGTGGGGATACAATAAACACTGATGCTTATCCACGACACAATAAGGAAATATCTTCTCTTGCTAAAGGAAATGTCGTCGATATCATGTAACATAACTAGTAACACAACTAGGGTTAAGACAGGAATCAAACAACATGCACAGGTGGAATATTGTGGCGCTCGCAGAAGGGATACACATATCACTGACCCGGCGCAGAGATATGTGTATCCCCTGTTTTTGCTTCTCTTGCTGAAGGAAATATCGTCCATATAATCTATCAGAACAACTAGTAATACAACTAGGTTTAAGACAGGAATCAAACAACTTAAAAGGTGGATTATTATGGTGCTTGCACGGGGGGATACACATATCACCGGACCAGCGCAGAGATATGTGTATCCCCTCTCTATTTTTTGACTTTTCGAGTTATCCCTTGCTGACTGAAATTTTGTCAGTCATACTTGTTTAACGCGACTAGTGACATATGAATGATAATCACGTTGGATAAGGAGAGGAGCGAGAACGACTGTTTACATCAACATTGCAGCCCACGAAGAAGTAAACTCGCCAGAGACAGCTTTGCGATTATTTTGTCTCGAATCGTTGCTCTTTTGTAGATTGTGTTGCTCGTAATCTTGAATCATTTGTAGTCCCTTTGACAATGATTCGCAAAATTCACAAAAACAACAGAAATAAAACCGACACTTGTTTGAAGGGGTGGGGGGTAGGGGATACACATTTCACTGGCAGCCATATTGGAGGGATACACATATCACTAGGGATATGTGTACGGGGATGGGGATACACATATCACGGGGATACACATATCACTGTGACACCGGCAACATGGCCGACCTGACTGAACCTATGACGGCAGATCCTGCAAGACATCGTGAAGACCTGCTTGAACGTCTCGATGCTCTGAGAAGAAAGGAAACCTTTTGCGATGTGACAGTTGCAGTGAACGGTAAAGAATTCAAAGCTTATAAAGTCGTTCTAGCTGCGGCCAGCCCGTTCTTCCTTTCGCTTTTGGAAAACGACATGAGAGAAAGAAACGAACAACGGATCGAAATCAGGCTTGAAGAAGCGACTTCTTCCGTTATGGAAGACGTGCTACAATACATCTACACTGGAAATGTTTCCGTCACCGAGGAAAGCTGCCACAATTTGATCGCAACAGCGGATTATCTTCTTTTACCTGGATTAAAAACATTGGCTGTTGACTTCTTGAAAGAGAAAGTGACAGTTCAAAACTGTGTCTTCAATTATTACTTTGCCAGCAAGTATCGTTGTACGGAGCTGACAGAAATCTGTTGCAACGTGATCAATTTGAATTTCAGTGATGTAATGAAAACTGATGATTTTTTTAACCTTGACATGAAGCAAGTAATGGAATGGGTGTCTAGTGATGACGTGAATGTGAGAGCAGAGGAGGAAGTATTCACGGGAATTGTAGAGTGGGTGTCTCACAACAGAAGCGAAAGAGAAGTCTGTTTTCCTGATTTGATTCGCCAGGTCCGCCTAAGACCTTCATCACAAGACATTCTACTAAAGAAACTTGTAAATGAAGACCTTGTTACTACGAATATCGAATGCATGAACTTTGTCTTGAGATTCATTATTGAGTCAGATGAAAGTCTTTCCAGAGAACCAAGAAATTGCTTGAAGGTGCAAGTGGAAGGAATTTTTTTGTGTGGTGGCAGGAAGGCATTGTGTTATCTCCCCCATATAAACATGTGGTATAAAATGGCAAACATGACTTTTGAACATCAAAACCATGCTCTCCTACTGGACCAGCAAAGGGTTTACATCTTTAGTAAGCAAAATACATATATTCAGTCTCATTTAGTGGAGTACTATGTGCCTTCCACAAACCTCTGGTATTCATTTCAGTCAGGCTTTGAATACAATGAGCAATTCTGTAGTGTGTCAGCAGGTAGTGGTCATTCATTTGTGAATGTCTTGACCTTTGCTGAACAACGTCCTTACATGTACACATATGACATTAATACTAATAACTGGAAAATGCTAACAAAAACGCCTGTAAGACGATGGGGAGTCTGTGCCATATCACAGGGAAACCACATTTATATAATAGGTGGTACTAATACTGAAGATGACGTAGCTGCTGGAAATACTGAAGTGGAAAGATTTAATCCAAGTAATGAGAGTGTTGAAGAGGTTGCACCTTTGAATGAGGCAAGGCATGATGCATTTGGAGCAGTTATGAATGACAAGATATATGTTGCAGGTGGAATTCAGATGATAGAACAACGATGTAGACTTCTCCACACATGTGAGGTATATGACCCATCAACCAATGAGTGGCATTTGATGGCAGACCTCTGTGTACCACGTCATTCAGCAAGCATGGTCTGCTTTAAAGAAGCTTTGTATGTTGTTGGTGGTTTAAAGAATACCAACAATCAAGTTGTAACCAGGGAGTTGTCTGTTGAAGTGTTTGATTCTGAAACAAGTGAATGGAAAGAGAAGAGCACCATACCTGTTGGTGGTGAAAGTAGAGATAAGAGAGATAAACAAATACACTACAAAGCTTGTACTGCAACAATTCATAAAGATGTGTTAGTGGAAGCGAATCTCGTTGACAGTGGACAGAAAGTTACATAGTTTTCACGAGTTGAATTTTACCAGTAAGTTGTCACTGCAAGACTAGTCCACAGCAAGCAGAGGAGTTATGTATAATATAAGTTAATTCATTTCTCCGTTATTCAAACCACCATAAAATCACACTGATAAGAGTTCAAAACCTAACATGTTTTATGCTCTTTCAACTCTGATGTTTTTAAGGGTGTATCCTATAATTTTGGCATGAGATACAGCTGTAGGTCACCTCACCCCTAGCAGCAAAGGGCCCTTATCAATCCTCTGAACTTTAGTATAAATTTGGCCACAGTAGTAAATATACTGTTTTGTTTACACAAATTTGTACTTCCCCAGACCCTACTATGGTGGCCGATAACTGCCATTCGTCAAAACGACATAAATTTGTTAATTTTAGATTTTAACTTTATTTTCAATTGAAAATAAAGTGAAAAAACAACGAAAAACTATTTTCTTTTCCATTGAACTGGAAATAGATTAAATTTTCTTTTATTTTCAACTAAAACAAAATATTTTTATTATGAAATGAAAATAAAAATAAAAGTGAAATAAAAGCAGAAGTAAAATTAATATGTTCACGGCCGGGAACTGCCATTCAAAAGAGAAAATGTAAAATTAGTTTGTTTGAACTTTAATTATTTTGAATTGAAAATAAAGTGAAAGTAAAATGCAAAATTATTTTCTTTTTCATTGAACTGAAAATAGATTTTTTTTTATTTTCAACTCAAAACAAAACATTTTTATTATGAAATGAAAATAAAAATAAAAGTGAAATAAAAGCAGAAGTAAAATTAATATGTTCACGGCCGGGAACTGCCATTCAAAACAAAAATAAAAGTAAAATTCATATGTTCATGGCCGGTAACTGTTATGCAAAACAGAAAACGTAAAATTAGTATGTTCATAGCCGGGAACTGCCGTTCAAAACAGAAAAGTAAAATTAATATGTTCATGGCCGGAAAGTGCCATTCTTTGTGTCATTACGCAAGTAGACTAGATCAAAGGCTCCTGGGAGCAAGTTCATGGATGAATTGAATCCGGTAAACGGGCATGGGTGCTAAGTGCCACTGCTCTGCAATTTCGTGATTGAGTTTCGTTATTATTGACAACCGAATGTCGAAGATTATCACCTCTGTATTTATAGTACCTTTGAGGGCTTGAGAAACATTCCATTTCGAAATTCATTTGTTTTAAACTGCTTGAAAAACTCACTTTCTCCTTAGTTTTTTTTATATATTTCATGACTTTCTTCGTGTGTTGGTTACTTGTCTTGATGGATCATGTTTACATTTCTTTAGCATTTTATTTTTGGCATGTGTTTTGGCATACGGTATTTAGCATTAATTTTGTTCTTTGGCATCTAGTTTTTGGCATACATTGTCTGTTATAAAAAGCATTTCGTCAGCATTTCTATGCTAACTTGTTGGCATCTCTATAGCACTCACGCATTTAAGGGAGTTAGATCCTTGCCCAAAGCTGTACTTGTTCTGACCTTAGGAATTCAAACCTGACAGTGTAAGTATCCGATTGCATATGCACCTGAATATTCTAGAATCTTGTTATCAGCGCAGCATTTCTTTTAATAATGCAAAGATCACCTTAAGCCTATTAAGGCTTTTTAGTTGTAAAATAATTTGCTTTCTCATGTGAACGTCAACCCCGCTTTACAATTCAAGGACCGTTTTTTGCAGCTAAGGCTCTTTGGTCACTCTTTGGCTTATTTGCTCTTTGCTGAAGGAAATCCCATCGTCAGGCTTCAATAGCTCTTTCACACTCTGTCGATCGCATCTTCTCCATATCAAGTAATATCGCGGAACAAATGTGCACAATTCGTTCAAATATACAGCAATGATCCACACTCAATTATTTCAACATCTTTTTAACAATTTCAAGTCCATTTCTTGCATATGATATTGTCAGTTTTCATTAGAATATTTTCATTTATACAAAACCCATCTTCCGCTAGCTACTCTTTTGTGTAGGGAAAAAATGTACGCCTTAATAGTACCCATATGAACCTGTAAACATTCCTCTGTTTCGCTAAATTCAACATTTCTTCAGAAATGTCCAAGGCATCAATGTTCCTATACCCTTGCTGCACAAGCATTTCACCAATGATTCCTGTGCCGGCCCCAGCATCGAGGATTTTGATATCCTTGTTAGCTTCAGGGAAAATGTCTTTAGACTGCATGGCTTTATCGAAAGCCTCAACACACAGGACATGCCCATTGTAACCAAGTTTGTTTGTATCCTAAAAGAAAAAAAATAGTATAGACAGTATTATGGCAAAACTATTTCATCACTATTACAGTCAAACCCCATTAATACAGGGGCACCCAACAACAGTTTCCTCCTAATTGCATTGAAAACACTTTTTAGGTTATCCAGAGTACTTTTAGATCACTAAAAATGTATTCTAAGAGGCGCTAAAAAATTTTCATCTGTTCGGTCATCCTGGGGCAACTTGAGTCTTTTAGAAATTACAACGGCTTCAGTATTATTTTCCCAAAAACTTTAGCTGCAATATAAAGTTTTACGAAAGTGACAATTTTTCTGATTCCTCTCTGCATCGTATTTTCGATTCCGAAAAAGTTAGGTTCCCTTTCTCTACGAAAAATAGCTTAACCTGGGAGTGATATGGGAAAAATTAAACTTCAGAAAACTGTTAGTAGGGAATTTATTAGATAAGCTTTGAAAATTGTACATGAATGGAACGGTCATCTGGAAGTTTGTAGCCTTCCCAAGCTTTAGAAAATTCGAGGCAATTTTTGCTTCTCCGAACAGATATTTCACAGAAAACAGCCATTGGGTGCCCCTGATTAATGGGGACACTGAGGAGGCCATAGAAAGTGTCTCTGTTGACTGGGTGTCCATATTATTAAATAGGGTTGAATTTAGAGAAAATGTAAGGGCTTTCTTTCCCCTGGGACAAAACAAACTGTCTACAATAAAAAGGTGTCTGTCTTAAGCGGGTGTCCGTTAAGCAGGTATTGACTGTTTACTAAGTTTATTTTCCCTCATTACAGTCTTGGACACCACTTTTCATGGTCTCTTTACTTATGACAGGGACATGGCCATGGGGGTACTTTAGGAATTTCTGGGTGGGGATGTGCCGCTGGGACCCTCAAACCCTTAACCTATACCAGAGCTAGTTCGGCTGAATTTTGCTACCCTATACTAGAGTAAACTCCCCAAATCCCCCCTATCCTAGAGTAGCTGTTTTCAAGAAACTACTGAGGTCACTAGCACTGTCTAGCCAAAACAAAACCCTATACCACAATCCCTAGTCTAGATAAAATCTTCAATCAACTCATCAGTTTCCTAGAAAATGATACCCTATTCTAGACCCAAATGCTCTGATTTATATACGCTATCCTAGAGTAAACTGTTTGAAAAACCATACCCTTCACAACAGCACATACCTATATAGCCCATATATGGCAGTACCCCTGGGGGCATGGCCTACGCCTCAAAATGCGAAATGACCATATTTAAAATTCAGACTAGGGACATACATACACCCCCTAAGAGAGCCTCTTTAATTTTTCTAAAAAGTACAACATACCTCTTCATAAGTTTTTGCCCAATCATCAAAAGTTTTTTTGGCATCCTTTAATGCTGAATTTGTGATCATAACACTTCTAAAATTGCCTTGTTGTTAGGTGCAACAGCCATTATTAGTGAAAACCACCAACAAATTCTTGAAAAAAAGGAAAGGCAATATAATATTGGATTTACTCAACCATGTTGGATAAATACACAGGCGACACTTTGATGACCAGGCTAAAGGCTGAACTTTTTGGCCCATGCATGCTGCTGTTGTGTTCAGCTGGAAATGGGCCTCTTTGATGGAATTCTCAAGAAGGGTTAAGTGTTGCTGTTACTGTCACTGACAAAGTCAAGGTCATACATCATCTCCTCTTGGGTAATCTGTTATATTGCTTATGTGCTGTAAATGAAGCTATAAGATCCTTCAGATTACTTCAACGGTAAAATCAGTTCCCCTGTAGGACAACATTTAACTATCTCAAATTCTTTGAACACATTGCCATCGACATAAACTCCCCTCAGTCAATAAGGTTTTTATTACTTCTATTAATGGTGATAATCTACTGTGGTGGCACTGTGATTAGTCCAATCAAAGAGGGTGTAAACTGTTGATCATCTGATTTCTAAGCGTCTCCTCCCAATTCTCAGCACAGCTTCCCAGTTCCTCTGCCAAAACTTTGCTCGCTCTATATAATAATCAAATAATTGCTCGCTCTAAATAATAATCAATCCCACCTTCAAAAGGAGGTATATTTATATTAAACTAGTATCCACTGGAAAGAGAGGAGAAGTCATTACGTCACATTGCCATGGTAGCAAAGTTTTGGATGACAACAAATCAAAACGTCGCTTAAAAAGTGGATTCGACTTTTTGAACTTCATCGATCTTAGGTAAAAAATTTCATTTAATTTGTCAAATGTTGGCAAAATTTTCTGGGTTGAGTGCGAAAGGACCATCTTTAAGTTTGGAACAAAAAAATTTTTGTGTTGTGCTTCCCTACTCCATACAGTAGGCAAGTGGAATTACGAAGTTTCATCCATTCGTGCAACAATGGCTAAGAAATGTACAAAAACGCGTAATGCACAGGCAAAGTTGTTCTTTTGCCCATCTAAACCTATTGCTATTGTTGTGATCAAGAAATTTTGCTCTCATGGTAACGTGACGTCACGCTTCTCCTCTCTATCAGTATTCCCAATGAAGATCCCAGGGGAATTTGACCCTTTGTCTCCTCATAGGCCGCATCTGGGGATTATGGCATGATCCGCTTTGGGAAAACAGGAAACCAGCTGGTTTACAGAATCTTGCGTTTTTCAGGCTAGCAAAGACGAAACCGAAGTGGGCGAAGGACGCGAGAGTCGAGACACACTCGAAGGAACACCCGCCTCGCGTTTTTCTTTGCTCGCCTTAAAAAAAGCGAAAAAATAATCTTGTTCTGCGGGCCAGCGTGGCAAGGCAAGTACTACCGAAACAGAGAAGAGAATTCGGGCGCGCGAGAACGTGAAAAAGGTCTCATGTTCTTGCATTTTACATTACCTAGGCCGGTATATTAGAAGACGTCCATTCGTAGGTCATTCGTTCCATCCGACTGTTTCCGACCTTTATTCCCGACCAATTTTCCCCGTTCGGTCCAGTGCCCAACGTTCCCGTAATGCGGAAGATGAGGAATGTGTTCTAAACTTCCGGCAACATGGCCGACCTGACTGAACCTATGACGGCAGATCCTGCAAGACATCGTGAAGACCTGCTTGAACGTCTCGATGCTCTGAGAAGAAAGGAAACCTTTTGCGATGTGACGGTTGCAGGAACGGTAAAGAATTCAAAGCTTATAAAGTCGTTCTAGCTGCGGCCAGCCCGTTCTTCCTTTCGCTTTTGGAAAACGACATGAGAGAAAGAAACGAACAACGGATCGAAATCAGGCTTGAAGAAGCGACTGCTTCCGTTATGGAAGACGTGCTACAATACATCTACACTGGAAATGTTTCCGTCACCGAGGAAAGCTGCCACAATTTGATCGCAACAGCGGATTATCTTCTTTTACCTGGATTAAAAACATTGGCTGTTGACTTCTTGAAAGAGAAAGTGACAGTTCAAAACTGTGTCTTCAATTATTACTTTGCCAGCAAGTATCATTGTACAGAGCTGACAGAAATCTGTTGCAGCGTGATCAATTTGAATTTCAGTGATGTAATGAAAACTGATGATTTTTTTAACCTTGACATGAAGCAAGTAATGGAGTGGGTGTCTAGTGATGACATAAATGTGGAAGCAGAGGAAGAGGTATTCACGGGAATTGTAGAGTGGGTGTCTCACAACAGAAGCGAGAGAGAAAGTTGTTTTCCTGATTTGATTCGCCAGGTCCGCCTAAGACCTTCATCACAAGACATTCTACTAAAGAAACTTGTAAATGAAGACCTTGTTACTACGAATATCGAATGCATGAACTTTGTCTTAAGATCCCTAGTTAACTCAGACAAAAATCTTTCCAAAGCACCAAGAAATTGTTTGAAGGTGAAAGTTGAAGGAATTTTTGTGTGTGGTGGCAGGAATGCCTTGTGTTACATCCCCTGTGTAGACGAGTGGTATCAGATGGCAAACATGACCTTTGAGCATCAAAACCATGCTGCCATACAATACAAGGATAAAGTATACATCTTTAGTAAACAAAAGTGTGTGGATGGCCACTTACGTGTAGCAGAATACTATATTTCTTCCACAAATTGGTGGGGTTCAATTCAAACAAACTTTGAGTACGATGAACAATTTTCTACTTTGGCAATACTGAATGGTTACTCATCCTTATATGCTCTAACCAATTCTGAACAATTTCGTGAAAACACCATATTCACATATGCTCCTGATATGAACAAATGGGAAATAAAAGGAGATGAGAGCTTTAGAAGTCGATGGGGAGCTTGTGGTGTGGCACATGGACAATACCTTTACATTATAGGTGGCACTACTAGAAGTAATACTACAGCAACTGGACTAACTAGAGTGGAAAGGTTTGATCCAGGTTTTGTGATTTTGGAAGAGGTCACATCTTTGAATGAGGCACGGCATGATGCATTTGGAGCAGCCATGAATGACAGGATATATGTTGCAGGTGGAATTCAAATGAGAGAACAGAGAAGTATCCTGCTGAATACATGTGAGGTGTACAATCCATCAACCAATGAATGGCATCGGATGGGAAACCTCTGTGTACCACGTCATTCTGCAAGCATGGTGTGCTTCAGCGGACGTATGTATGTCATTGGTGGCTTAAAGAATACCGCTAAGCATTATACAACGAGAGAGTTGTCAGTTGAAATGTTTGATTCTGAAACAAATGAATGGAAGGAAAAAACCACCATACCTGTTGCCAATGAAAATGGAGAAGAAAGGAGGAAGCAAATACACTACAAGGCTTGTATTGCATCAGTTCATAAAGATGTATTAGAGAAATGCATTTAACCCATGATGGATAAACATGTCAGCCCTGTCCCCAATTCAGTTCTACTATGTGAGTAAGTGGAAGATGCTTCAAACAGAATGTATAAATAGCCAAATCCTGCTGACAATCCTGACAGGAGCATCACATCCAAACTGGTCACATGCAATGAGGATTGCGGAAATTATACATTTGTAAATGTAAAGAACGGGGAAAGAAATTTCTTATATGCCATATTCTTACTAATTATCACCAGTTTCATCATCTCGATTTTTGCAAAGTAAAGTGCAAGCAAAAAGCTATTCCACATACAGAGATCAATTTTATTAACCTTGACTCCAGAGGCCCATTCTCAAAGTACCTAGGATGAAATAAACCATACTCACAGCTTGATAAATCTCACAAGAAGGACTTCTGGTCACAAAAGCAAGCAACCTTATTTCCCTGCGAGGAATCAGTTCAGAATCTGAACTGGGTCACCGACTGGTTACTCCCATGTCTGCAGGGAATTAACTATGTAACAGCAAACGTGATTAGTGTCATCAAAGAATTTCAGCCCATGAGACTGAAAACCGGTTTTGATGTTCTTAATAAACGATTCAGAGGGAGCTTCCTGTGTTTTTTAGAAGTGTGGCTCAGCTATCTCTGACTCAACTTCAAATTTGCAAACATCCGACAACTGAATCTAAGTTGCTTGAGGAAGAGACTTTGTTTTGATTTATCCGATGAAAGTACGTACCTTGAATGAATGTGATGATTTCCTATCCTGCTTTGTCATGCTGCTCTCAGTTCTGCAGTGTTGTTTGTACATTGTTAGATTCTCATGGATAGTACCCTGGGTGCCAGGGTTTTGTCTTTTTTCTCCTAATTTCTGATAGTTCGTGGTGCTGTTTATTTGCTACAAAATCAGCAACTAATAATCTTTTGTTTTGCTTAGCCATTCTGTCTGGCAACATTTAGTTTGACCTGTTACAGTGATAACTGCATCATGGACCGGAAATACATGTCATCCTGCGTGTTGGCTTCTAAAAGCAGCTAGTTACAGAGTGTGTTCGTCTGTCCTTTTTATATGGTTGAAACATAAATTGTGTTTTTTTTGCAAAGGAATATGTGACAATTTTAATAGCATTTTCCTCCCTAAGTGAACTTTCAGGCAATTCTATTTTCATGCATCGCAGAGGCAGAGCCACATACAATCAAATCTCAGCTGTCAGAGTCAATGGAAACAAACATGCATACCAGCTCCAAACTAATTTGGTGAGTTATATGATCCTAAATTTGCATGGAAATGAAACTTGTAACTCCTGTGACCAGAGGTTTTTTTTCTCTCAACACTTCGAGAGAAAATTAGGAAAGAAAAAAAACCTCTGGCACTCAGGGTATATTTTAATTGGAAAAAAGAGGTGTACAACTAACAGCATATTTTTGTTTTCTGGTCTCCAAAAATTATGCAGGCACTGTTGATATGGCAGTTTTTCATTTTATTTTAGTTAGGAGGATAAGTATTCTTTAGGGTAACAGTTCAACTAGTTAGTAATTGGCTATTTTATTCCAGATAATTTAGCAAACCCGCTGTCGGATTCAGATCTTTAAGTTGGTGGGGAACCCGCTCATCCAAAAGGGCCTGGCCTGGAAAGTAATAGCTTAAGAATGGCCCCTCTACTAGATCAGCGACTAAAATGACATGCTCAAAAGATTGCTAATCTTTGCCTGCGATCATGTTGTAAGTTCTTACTGTGTACTTAACTAGATCCACGTTGTTGGAAACTTTATAAGTCCTATCCATTGGACAAATTACTATCCAGTGGAAATTGTTAGAGTACATGATTGCATTATCTACCAGCAGATAGACTTTTATCCAGTGGAAAAAAATATCCTCCTTTGATTCTTTCATTTTGCTTTCAAATACTCAAGGCTGGAAAGGAATCAAATTGGAGATCAGAAATTGTTCATTTAGTTAGGGATGTATGTAGTATGGTGGGTTTTTAAATATAGGATGCATATGATGAATAGCCATATTTTTCTGGATATTAGAAGCAATATTTTTGTGCCAATATTGATGAAAGGTTTGCTTTTACGCATCATTGAGTACTAAAGTATTTAAAAAAGCATTCAAGAATATGCCATTTGCCAGCCTTTCTTGTGAAAATTTGTCGTACTTGCGTGAATAAAAATTCATTCTCATATTATGGATCCTTGTTTCTACACAGAGGCATGCAGCAACTTGGAAATGGTCTGATGTGCTCAACAACGTACTTGGTTTAGGTGTTTCATTTAAGCAGTTTTTAGCTTAAATTAAAGAAGTGGTATAGGCAAATACCAAGAGTCAGCTCTCTGAAAATCGAAAGTGAGCCTTTTTTATTATTTTAGGAAAATTCTACCATTATATAATATTTCTCATTCCTTTTTTAATAGCAGCTTCCCGTGATTTTAAACATTAAGTTACGTTAGTATAATCACTTAATCTTTTTCTACTCCATATCTATGAGCTAAAAAGTGAGCACCTGACATGAAAAACACTAGGACTTGGATATTAAGCTAAAATAGTTAGAATCGAACAGCTAGAATATGTTACAATGCATCTGTAAAAAAACCATCACTGTTTTCTCTTAGAAATCAAGAAAAAAGTAGTTTTCCTAACTAAATATTGTGTTCTTTGTTGTTGTTAAGCTACGGAAAAACGGGCAACAAAAAGCTGCAACCTGTTTTGCAACATTGTTATAAAACGAGTTGAAAAGTGATGTTGCTAATTTTACCACCCACGTTCACACATGTTGCAACGAATTAGGTTTTTGCAAGTTGCGCGAATACTGATCTTTCATTGGTCAAAAAATTACGCCGAAGTCATGCCATACATAGAAGTTATTCACTTCATTCAGTTAGTCACTTCCTGCAAAACAAGTTTGCCTTGCGCAGGTAAAACAACATGCGCAGATTTTGTTGCAAAACGTATAACTTCTTTCTGCTCTCTGCAACAACCCAGTTTGTTGCAGGACAAAGTTGACTCGTGGGTTGCAAAATGCGCAAAATCGCTATTCAATTCGTTTTGCACCAATGTTGTAAATCAAGTTGCTGTTGCCCGTTTTACCGTACCTTTAATACAAATTGCATCCTTTTTTCATTCATTTATTCATTCTTTATTTGCCATATATACAAATATGTTACAACGCAAGATTGGCATAATATGAGATAAAAGAAAAAGTAAAGCAAATAATTATCACCAGCAGCTGAAACCAACACTTAAATGCTAAAATGCTAAAATGTTCGCAGATGATACAACTATTACCATTTCTGGTTCCTCTCTAGCTGACCTTGAACAAGAGACTAACTTAGAACTACTGAACCTTCACTGTTGGCTAAAAGCCAATAAGCTTAGTCTTAATGTTGCGAAAACCGAGTTTATGGTTATTGGCTCTCGCCAGAAGCTTCTCGCGGAAAGCCATAACGAAATAAACATCAAACTAGAAGACCAAGTTATCAGCAATGTTGATCACGCAAAATCATTAGGTCTCATTATTGACAATCGGCTTTCCTGGTCTAATCATGTTAACGAATTGTGTAAGAAGGTAACTTCGGCTATAGGTGCCCTTAGACGTATTAGGCCCCTTATCTCCCAATCTACTGCGGTACTAGTCTATAACTCCTTAATTCAACCTCACTTTGATTACTGTAGCCTTGTTTGGGATGGCTTAAGTGATCAACTGAGTGACAAATTACAAAAGTTACAGAACCGTACAGCTAGAGTAATTTTAAAGGCCAACTATGGGACTAGCTCGAGCCTGCTTCTTGATATACTCAAATGGGACAAATTAGTTATAAGGAGAAAGAAGCATAAAGCAATAATGATGTTTAAATCTCTAAATGCACAAGCTCCAGTGTACTTGCAGAACCTATTTCACGAACGAAGCACAGATTATGATTTGCGCAATTCCTTTCATAAATTGACGTTGCCCAGGCCGCGTACTAACTACTTGAAACGAAGTTTCAGTTACAGCGGTGCTTTGTTGTGGAACTCTTTACCCGAAAATGTGAGAGAAACTAAATCAGTCAGGAAATTTAAAGAGCAAATCAAACATGTATTTGAGTCGTCGGACTCTCACTCGGCAGTCTTGTAAAACAGTATGTCGATAGTTTTTAGTCTAATTAATTGTGATTAGATTTTTACTCTATTATTACTGAAGATTTTACCGAGTTTTAAATAAATAATCTACCTACCTACCTACCTTAAAGTTTCTCATAGCCCAAGTTCCCCCAAAATTGCATTATTATATAATTGTTACTAAAAAACTCAGAAAACCATAAACACCAGGGGTTTTTTGGAGTGTTATTGAACTGGAAAGGTAAAAGCGTATCAGGTTTAACAACACTCAACTGCGAGCAGCCAAGATAATTTGTTTGTGGTTTCGCGGTCTGTTCGTGTCTGGCCTGAGAAAACGGCCGACATTTGGCAACTGGTTTTCCCGCCAAATGAAGTCTTAGAAACGAGCGCAGAAATTCGATACTGATGACGCGTCACTTCCTAGATCTGGATAGTAATTCTGATTGGTCGTCCCGCTTGAGGAATTTGCTTCAACCAATCAGAAGCCCGAGAAAACAGCGGACATTTCGCGACACCACCACTCGTTTCACCTCAAAATGACGTCTTAGAAACGAGCGCAGAAATTCCAGACTGATGACGAGTCACTTCCTAGATCTGGGTAGTGTTTCTGATTGGTCGTGCCGCCTGGGAAATTTGTTTCAACCAATCAGAAGCACTACCCAGATCTGAAAAAAAAGCCAAGAAATTGTGCTTCTTCATGTGACAAGTTATAAACTGTTGAATTTCTGTATAAATGATTTTTCTTGAGTGACTAGTCTCAGACAAGTTGGACGCCTCCCCACTGCAAATGGCCGATACCAGATCTCGAAACAAAATTGACTGGTTTGTGAGCTAGGAGCCTTTTTACTTTTCAACAGGTT